AAACAATGCAAAACACGTCCAAATCAGCACAATGCTTCTGCGAATCAACGCCACAAACTACTAGGAACCCTTTTCAAACACCGTCGATGACAACTAACCGAATTTGCATCCGCATCGCCAATATTCAATTCCAATTCCGGTAGGGCAACTACCGGAACCACAACGAGAAACTGACACAGCGATCAGGATACACATTTCGGGTTTAGGGCAATCGCAAGAAGATAGGCAAAATTCGCAATTGTGGTGTGACACTAGGCGCAACGCATTAGCTGTAGCTACTGAGAAGTACCATAATTACTGCGAAGACATGAGATAGTGTACCACTACTATGGTGTGAGAAGACGCCACGTAATGCCCTACCTTCGTAAAATAGTCTAGTTAATGACAGAGCTGAACATGAGACAGTGCTCTTCAAGCACCAGTCAATACAGATTTGTTGATTTGTACAGTAGCAGGAGAACCACCAATTGCACCTAAATGGTTGGTAGAGATATAATACTCAGTGCTGACTTAAGTGTGTGTAAAATCAACACACCATCCAAGTCCCACAGAACCGCACCAACAAGGCACTCAGTCCTGCGCACGAAAAGTAGCAACATCTCATCTACTGGGCGATTTCTCAGTAGACATCCTTACACGATGACCAAGGCATGCAACACAATCGCACCACTTACTGCGGGTTCAAGCAACCACTAGAACCTATGCAGAGCAGCAGATGTTGACGAGCATCAACGAATGCCAATGCACTTCCTGCAGGAAAAAAGCCATAACGACTCATAAAACAGAAGTAAGGGCACAAATGTCATGCACAAAACGGACGCTAACCAGTATATCGGGCTAAGGGTTGGTAATGTCCCTCAGGGTTCTATCTGTCGCCACCCTCAACACCTTTCATCGCCTGCACATTTTCGGAGGGCTCCATGCAGACGCTAATTGCTTTCACAATGGGAATGTTTCTTGGTGACGAAGACGTCTCCCTGTTGCTTCTATCATTCTTGTCCTTCACAACACAGCAATGAAGACACATCTGCCCTAGGAGCAGACGTCTCCTCATCATCATTTCCCACCTCTTTCGAAGCTGCAATATCCTCCTCTGTCACCACACAACCCATACATCCTACCTCGCAAACACCACGCATTTCCTGCGTGTATAAAAGAAGCATTAGACAGTGATGTGTTGACATATACATTCAAGCATGCAGTTCTACGCCCAGGTCACCGGTCCTTCCCAGCGTCAACATTACATCTGCTCTCCAAATTGACAATGGCATCAAGCAGGAACCCAGTCAATACATTCGTGACAGCGCGGTACAATGTGTCGTCAAATATTGATCACTCACCGCTTCCATTAAGGGTTTGGGGAAACCACAAATGTCTAATAGGACAGACCGATGGCAATAGCAAAGCAGTGCCTTCTGTAAATAGCTAAATCAGTTAATCCCCCCTCCTCCCCCGCCCACCTGAGAAGGCCAGCCCCACCCCATCTTCAAGTCCTCCATCATAGCCAGTACAAGAAAGGAAAGCACGGCCAGTGTACCCATCTTGATCCCAAATTCCTAACAATCGCAATGCTATCTCATGCTCCAAGAAATCGCAAGGCATTCACGCGGCTGAACAGCAGCCAATAGGGCAGTCGAAACAACAAAGCAAGTGGAACCAAATCCAAACCCGATTCATTCACAGCTCAGATGCTTACCTCCTCATCGCACACCACTCATTGTTGTCGTTTGATCAAATCAAAAGCTCCTCCAATTGACAAGATTCAACATCCCAACACAACACCTTGCAACATGCTTTGCCGAAATAAACACCAACTCATATCCAACACACGTCACACATTTGTGACATGTGCACCCACTTAACGCAATCTGCCGAACATCAGTGACATCAGCGACGAGAAGTTAACCAATATGAAGCAGTGCAATCTGCAAACGGACAATGGGGTAAGCACACCACTTCAACATCCACAAGATGTCACCCAAACAACGCAATTCCGAAGTCTTCTCGCTGCTCACACTTCTTGCTAATTTACTAAAGCAGGCAAAAT